GGCACAGCTCAAAAGAGAAAAATATGCATTTTTCTTCTTTCGCGAGAGGCATGGATTTGCTTCTCGTGGAGGCACATGTTTGTTTTCGTGAAAGGCACAACTATGTGACATGGAAAGGAAAAAAACACGTTTTTTCTTTCTCTCGTGATAGACACCGATTTATTTCCGCGAGAGGCACCTCTTGGAAAGGGAAAAGGTGGGGGGAAATCGTGCTTCCAGCTTGTTTCATTTAGTTTTTTCTGTGAAAAAAAAAGTTTATTGAAACCTATTAACATGGGTCTATCTTCAAAGATCTCGATGTGAGAAGTGCAATAGTGAAAACGGTTCACGATTTGGACGCACGATTTAAGAGATACAATATTTTGAATAAACAAATCTATGAAAAACAAAAAAACACTCAGGTTGCGTCGAGTGGCGCACTTCACAAATTGGGAAGATGAAAGTTACCTTTGCAAGAATACCCTTAATTGATTTCACTCAACATAGATCTTTTTTTAGACAAACTCGACATACATCTTATAATCACCTCGGCCCTCTTAGGCTTCCACTATGCGAGGGACCATGCGGAATATACTGGGCCAATCATCCGTTTTAGGCATTTAAGCAATCGGGCGCACACCCTTCCACCGCACTGGGCTAGCCCATTTTCGTTTTCTATTTCTGTTTTTGAAACGCATAAAAACACCTAACTGGGACCTCGCTACTATGCGCGCTGCCCTAACCAAGGTAAAGAACCCCACGTGCAATTTAGGCCGATTTCTTTATGCAATGTTCTTTACAAAATTGCGTCAAAGGTTATATCAAACAGGCTCAAGATGGTGCTCCCTGACATCATTTCAGAGGAATAATCCGCGTTTGTTCCAGGCAGGTTTATGACTGACAACATAATCACCGCATATGAGTGTCTCCATTTTATGAAGCGAAATAGATCAAAGAGAAACAACCATTGCGCACTGAAACTAGATATGATGAAGGCATATGACAGAGTGGAGTGGGATTATATTCAGGCAATTATGTTGAAGCTGGGATTTACTGAGAGATGGGTCAACATAGTTATGAGTATGGTAAGATCAGTGAGATTTTCAGTTCTTTTCAATGGCAGAAAACTTGACGATTTCACACCTTCTCGAGGGATTTCACAGGGAGATCCTATCTTCCCATACCTATTCTTGATTGCAGCAGAGGGCCTTTCGTGCCTTTTAAAATCTATTGACGGGTCATCCAACATAGGTGGAATACAGGTGGCAGCTTCTGCACCACCAGTTAACCACTTATTATTTGCTGATGATAGTCTGCTGTTTTTTAAGGCTAGTGCGGATGGGGCGAATGAGGTGAACCAGTTGTTGAACACATATTGTCAAGCTACGGGACAGAGGATTAACCATGAGAAATCGTCAATATTTTTCAGCAAAAAATGCCCCAATGCAGTCAGACAAGAGGTGAAGGCTATTTTGCAGGTTCCAAATGAGGCTCTAAGTGCCAAATACCTTGGTATGCCATCAGATGTGGGAGCTTCAAAAAATGGCGCCTTTAAGTACTTGAAGGATTACTTGTGGAGTAAGGTACAAGGATGGATTGAGAACTGTCTTCAGCGGGCAAGGAGGTATTGGTGAAATCAGTCGCTCAGGTTGTACTAGTATTTTCTATGTCATGCTTCAAGTTGCCCAAGGGACTTTGTGAACATCTAAATATGCTTATCAGGAAATTTTGGTGGGGGAGTAAAGATGGTAAACGTAAACCCAATTGGGTCTCCTGGGAGGCCATGACTCAGCCGAAGAGCATGGGGGGTCTAGGTTTTAAGGATTTTGAGTTATTCAATTTGTCCTTATTGGCAAAACAAGTATGGAGAATTCTGCAGCATCCAGACTCGTTAAGTGCCCGGATTCTCAAGAGTATATATTTCCCGGAGACCAGAATTCTCACAACAGGGGTGGGCAGTCATCCAAGCCAATCTGGAGGTCTATAGTTGAAGGACGGGACATACTGAAGCAGGGCTTGATTCGGACAATTAGGAGCAGATTGTCAACTTCTATTTGGAGTGACAACTGGATCCCCAGAAAAGAAATGATGCGGCCATATGGTGCCCGGATAGCGATCCCCCTGAACTAGTGGCTGAATTAATAGATCCAACGAGTGCAACTTGGGATATAAACAGGTTGGAAGAAGTGTGCTTACCTATCGATATTGCAGCTATATTACAGATACCCTTAAGCACCAGCGACATTCCTAACACGTGGTCGTGGTTCTTCGAGAAGAACGGAAGCTTTTCAGTAAGATCTGCGTATAGAATGTTGATAGATACAAAATATAGAAGAGGAGCATGGCTGGATGGAACGACGGGCTCGTCAAGCACAGAAAGAGAAGCCGACTCATGGAAGAAACTATGGAAGACCAACGTCCCTAGAAAGATCAGAATGTTCCTTTGGAGGTTGGCCAAACAGTCTATCCCTACTGAAGATGTTCGAGCTCACCGCAACATGTCGAATTCATCTGCGTGCGGGCTGTGCGGTGTTGAGGATTCTTGGCGCCATGCACTGCTGGAATGCTCTATGTCTCGGTGTGTGTGGGCTATGGTAGATGGAGAACTCGCTGAACACTTATGCGCCACGACGGAGCCCGATGCAAAACAATGGTTGTTTACCATGATTGATACGTTATCGCATGATGCTTTCATTCGGTTAACGGTTACTCTTTGGGCCATTTGGTGGGCAAGAAGGAAGGCTATCCATGAGGAGGTTTACCATAGCCCGGCGGCAACACATCAGTTTATCACCAGATTCATGCATGAATTGGCTCTACTACCACGCAAGGAAAAGCAAACACCGACTTCCAGAGTGAGAGTGGTAGGGTCAAAGGCGCCTCCAGCAGGCTATGCCAAAATACAAGTAGATGCAGCGATGTCGAAACTGCAAACAAGAGGAGTCACGGCTGCAGTATGTCGGGACAAAGCAGGGAATTTTGTGGGCAGTTCAGCCCTGACAGTCTGTGGCATTAACGACGTAGCGACGCTGGAAGCTTTAGCATGCAGAGAGGGGCTGGCTCTTGCAGGTGATCTACATCTACATAATATCATCATTGCTTCTGACTCCATGCAGGTCATCAGTGATATTCGGAAAGGCAATGGAGGAAGGTATGGTGATATCGTTACCGAGATCAAAGCTAGATCATCTTCTTTTTTATGCAATTTCATGTTTGAAGGTAGAGCAGCCAATCAAGACGCTGATAGATTAGCAAATTCATTGGATCAAGGGAGGCACGTTTGGATGTCGATCCCACATGATCCTTTTTGTATCCCACAAACTGCGGTTTTTGAATGAATAAAGCTTCTACGTCTCAAAAAAAACTTAGTGCTTTATCACCCTTTTTCTTTCTTTTTATTTTTTCTTGGAAACGCTTTTGTTCGATTTTTTTTCTTTCTTCTTTTCTGCTAAGTGCGTGTTCTTTTCCAAAATCCGTGAACTTTATTTCAAATAGATGAGCATTTTTTCAAAAACGATGAACTTGTTTTCAAATTGATGATTTTTTTCCCAATTTATAAACCTTTTTTCAAATCAGTGAACTTTTTTCGAATTTGATGAACTGTTTTAAATTCGATGAACTTTTTTCAGGTTTGTTGAATTTTCAAATTCGATGAACCTTTGTTTTCAAATTCAATGAACTCATTTCAAATTTGATGAACTTTTTTCAAAATCAATGAACTCTTTTTAATTATGTGAACTTTTTTTCCAATATGATAAACTTATTCAAAATAATTCAGAAAATTAAGTGATATAGTACACATGCAATAAATGATTTTACCATTCACTATTGGTGTGTTGTTCTAGTGGTTAGGCACAATCGTATAGAACTGTAGTGGCTTGAGCTCGAATGGGGGGGTGGGGGGCTTCTTTTGCTGTTTTTTCGTTTTCATAGGTTCGGTGCGCAGCGTACCGAGCGGTCTTAGCAACCGGCCGCATCGGCCCTGTTGGGCCAGGCCCGGGTGGAACCCGCGTGGGCGCCAGTAAGCATTAGTGACACTAAAGTGCGGCTTAGGAGGTCCCCCAAGCTTACCCCACTACGTAATTTGATGGGCTTTTAGGCTGTTTTTGGTTGGACTTTTTATACCAAC